GACACCGCTCCCAAGATATGAAAGGCCTTCAAAATGCCAAGAGAACCCACCCAAACACAGCCAGATGGAGAAAACCCAAATACGTACTTTGACCTTACTGTTGACAAAAAGTTCCAGGACGTCTTGACGTACTTGGTCGTAATTTTTATCCAAGAATTTGTGCACCTGGGTGAGGCAGACAAAAAAAAAATCACACCATTTCTACGTGTTGCAATCCTAGGGTCTCATTCTGTCTCTACACGTGATCATGAAGCTGCCTTACACTGAGTCACACTGTCAGTCTGTCAAGGTCAGTATTGTCTACTCAGACTCGCTGCAGCTCTCCAGGGTCTCAGGCAGAGAAAGGTCTTTCCCATCACCTGCTGCCTGGTCCTTTTTAACTGGAGATGCTGGGGACTGAACCGGGGACCTTTTGTGTGCCAAGCAGAGGCTCTGCCACTGAGCCACAGCCCCTCTTGACAGCTCTCCAGGGTCTCAGGTGGATAAAGGTCTTTCCCATCACCTACTGCCTGGTCTTTTCTAACTGGAAACGCTGGGGATTGAACCTGGGACCTTCTGCACGCCAAGCAGATGCTCTGCCACTGAGCTACAGCCCCTCTTTACAGCTCTCCAAGGTCTCAGGCTGAGGTCTTTCCCATCACCTCCTGCCTGATTCCTTTAACAGGAGATGCCAGGGAATGAACCTGGGGCCTCCTGCATGCCAAGCAGAGGCTCTGCCACTGAGCCACGGCCCCTCTTTACAGCTCTCCAGGGTCTCAGGCGGAGGTCTTTCCCATCCGCTCGTGCCTGGTTCTTTTAACTGGAGATGCTGGGGATTGAACCTGAGACCTTCTGCATGCCAAGCAGAGGCTTTGCCACTGAGCTGTGGCCTTCCCCTATGTCCCTGACTCCCTGCCCTCTTCTCTTTATTGACTTCTCTGGATATGTTTCAGTGTTACCAAGAGAGATTACCGGCTATGGTAAAGTCCAACAGCCAAAGAGCTTTTGGACAGCTTTCAAACAAAATATGCAACCGTCAACATTCAAGGAATGCAAACGGAAGGAAGCATGCATGTCCAGAATATACAAAAAGATTTGCATAGTGGGCTATAATATGTCCCAAAACTCTGATGGGGCAGGTTGTAATCCTGAAACAAAATTTCAGTTTCCTTAGTACACAATTTCGAACAAAGTCAGATTGGAAATTTCCCAGCAGGCCTCTGCCCTACAGGGCCACTGGTGCCTAGGAGCGAGCTGAAACAATGGTCCTGGATTCGAGTCCAGTAGCACCTTAGCTATATCTAGCTATTTTACTGCAGACCAACACAGCTACCTACAGAAACGATTTTCAGTGGTGCTGAGCGATGCTACCCCTGTTGTTATCGTCACAGCCCAAATCTGAATGTAAGAGTGTAAGAAGAGCCCTGCTGGATCAGACTAGTGAGGGTCCATCTAGTCCAGCGTCCCGTCTCTCACGGAGGCCAACCAGTTCCTCTGGAGGGCCAACAACAGGGCACAGAGGCCGAGGCCTTCCCCTGATAGGAGCCTCAGAAGAGCCCTGCTGGATCAGACTAGTGAGGGTCCATCTAGTCCAGCGTCCCGTCTCTCACGGAGGCCAACCAGTTCCTCTGGAGGGCCAACAACAGGGCACAGAGGCCGAGGCCTTCCCCTGATAGGAGCCTCAGAAGAGCCCTGCTGGGTCAGACCAGGGAGGGTCCATCCAGTCCAGCATCCCGTCTCACACAGGGACCAACCAGTTCCTCTGGAGCGCCAGCAACAGGGCAGAGAGGCCAAGCCCTTCCCCTGATGTTGCCTCCTGGCACTGGTAATCAGAGGTTGACTATCTTTGAACATGGAGGTTCTCTTTAGTCACCACGGCTAGTAGCCACCGATAGATCTATCCTCCATGAATCTGTCTACTCCCCTTTTAAAGCTGTTTATTTCTGCGGCCGTCACTACACCCTCTGGCAGCGGATCCCACATTTTAATCCCTCTCTGTGTAAGAACAAAAGAACATGAGAGACGCCAATGTTGGATCAGGCCAGAGGCCCATCCAGTCCAACACTCTGTGTCACACAGTGGCCAGAAATACCAGGTGCCATCAGGAGGTCCACCAGTGGGGCCAGGACACCAGAAGCCCTCCTACTGTTGACCCCCCCAAGCACCAAGAAGACAGGGCATCCCTTGCCCCAGAGTCCCTATCTATACCTTGTGGCTAATAGCCACTCATGGACCTCTGTTCCATATGCTTTTCTAATTCCCTCTTGAAGCCGTCCATGCTTGTAGCCGCCACCACTTCCTGTGGCAGTGAATTCCAAGTGTTCATCACTCTTTGGGTGAAGAAGGACTTCCTTTTATCCGTTCTAACCCGACCGCTCAGCAATTTCATGGAGTGCCCACGAGTTCTTGCATTGTGAGAAAGGGAGAAAAGTACCTCTTTCTCTACCTGCTCTATCCCAGGCATAATCTTATAAACCTCAATCATGTCTCCCCTCAGCCGTCGTTTCTCCAAGCTAAAGAGCCCCAAGCGCCTTAACCTTTCCTCATAGGGAAAGTGTTCCAAGGCGTCTCTTATGTTCTTAACGTCTGCGTCCGTCCCGATTTTGAAGCAAGAGCAAAGGAGCTGATCACGTCCCGGCCCCCACTTTTTTGTTTGATCCTGGGGGACTCCCGGCCGCTCACCTGGTAGGTGACTTTCCCCGCGTAATGCTTAATGGTGAACTCCGGCAGCGGCATCTTCGGCTTGGAGTACAGCTCGTTGCAACCATGGTGGTAGTGACACTTCTGGAGAAAGGTGTGGTCCGTCGCCTGGGAAGACGGAGGAATAATTCAGCAGACTGGGAATGTGACCCCAATGTGATTTGGGAAGTCTGCGTTCAAAGTCAGCTTTGCCATGGACCCGCTGCTCAGATTACAGCTTTCTGGTGAGCAGCAGTTAGAGGCAGGGGTCATTTCCTGCAGGAGCGCACCGGAGCGGCGTTCTGGCAGTACAGAGCCCAGGGGGCGGGCACATGCAACAAGCCCTGCCCCCTGCTCCCAGCAGCCCTCAGTCAGAGCAAGAAGCAGCCAGGAGAGTTGCAGAGCCCCCCTCCAGTCCAAAACAGTCCAGTGGCACCTTTAAGACCAAGTTTTATTCAGGTACAAGCTCTCCCTCCTCTGCGAGGGCAGATCTGCACGTCCCCCCCCCCATAGCTAGCAATCCAAAACAGTCCAGTGGAGCCTGAGCAATGGGTGTCGCCTTCTGGCACACTTCCGGTGATGTCAGGGGGTGTGGCATATGCAAATAAGTCATGCTAATGAGTTATGCTAATGCTCACTTGCACCTCTTTTTCTACGAAATGACCCCTGGTTAGAGGGTTGGATTAGGACCTGAGAGATCCAGGTTCGAATCAAAACTCTGCCATGGAACTCGCTGTTTGACCTTGGGCCTTTTTCAAATGTGGACTCAAGTGCCACTGTCCTGAATATGTGCAGAGAGTCTTCCTTCTCTGGGAAAACCAACTTAAATTCATGTGAGTGCCCCCTACCCATCCCAGCACTGTCAAGAGACTTGGACGAAGACCTCCTTCTCCAGAGTTGCCAGTCTCTAGGTAGGTATAGAAAAATATATGACACTGTGTATAATAGATGTGTGCTTAAGGCAGATCTATTTTGTGATTTTTTATTTTTCTTTTCTTAATTTTTCTATACTTATCTAGGAGAAAGTATATCTCAAGTTCTATCGGGCTGCCTGATAGAAACTGAGAGATGCGTTCTCCAAGATTAGTTATTACAAGACGAGGACCCGCGATACTCACCGGGGCTCCGAGGCGGAGGCGGAGAGGCCGGTCCCCCCCCCGCCCGCCCTGCCTGCCATTTTGTGACCACCCCCAACCTCCCCCCAAGAACGTCACCTGAGGGAAGCTGCTTTGATCATCCAGGATCCTCAAAATCCCATAAGGCTTCTGGGCGATGAGGTCGATGCATGGCTGGTTGTCGTTGAACGGGATTTCCCTCCATTCGATCTGCTCCCGGATGTACTCCTCCTGAACCCAGAACCGAGAAGTTAAGCTTGCAGTGGGGAGTCGAGCTGCCGTTGACTTCAAAGCTCATCTCTGGTGTTTATCCACTAAGTGGCCTCCAGCAAGCCTCTCTCTCTCTCTCTCTCTCTCTCTCTCTCTCTCTCTCTCTCTCTCTCTCCTCTATCTATCCATCCCCCTCTCTCTCTCTCTCTCTCTCTCTCTCTCTCATCTATCTATGCCACCAGGTCCCCCAGGGGGGCGGGGGTTTCCCCACCCAAAGGGCCCCCGACCTGCCAGCCCAGATCCAGCCGGCAGGGGGAACCCCACCCCCAAAGTGTCCGGATCAGGCCGACGTGCCCAGCGTTATGACGTCACCCAGAGGTGACGTCATTGCACTGGGCATGTCGCCAGGGGGACGCTCTAGCATGCAACCTGAAAACTCTATGGTATCATAGAGTGTCCCCGGTGACATGCCTAGTGTGATGATGTCACTTCTGGGCGACATCACTGCAGCACACGCTATGTGTGCATGCGAAAAGTCCTGGAACGGGAGCTTCTCCCTCTGCTGCAAACCGGTAAGGGAACTGGCAACCCATCTATCTAATCTGTCTGTCTGTCTGTCTGTCTGTCTGTCTGTCTAATCATCTAATCTAATCTATCTACCTACCTACCCATCTACCTACCTACCCATCTACCTACCTATCTACCTATCCATCTACCTATCCACCTACCTATCCATCTACCCGTCCGTCTGTCTACCCGTGTATCCATCTATCTGTCTGTCTATCTATCTATTGTATTTATGAATCGCCCAGTTCTTGTCACAGCAGGGCTCTGGGCGATGTACATATTTATAAAACAGAAACAAGGTAAAACCAATAAACACATTAATAAAACTTTCCCACAATCAGGTGGTGAATAAATAGTCCCAATTCCAACTGCTGGCAGGGGAAAGAGGGTGAGGTAGATGTAAATAACAGAGGAGGGTGGCAGCCAAGATGGAACCATCGCTGTCCTCCACCCAAAGTGGAACATCTCCGCCTTGCAGGCAGGGAGTCCCACCAGGTTGGGGCCAGGACCGAAAAGGCCCTGACCCTGGTTGAGGACCGGTGGATGACTTGGGGGCTGGGGACCACCACCAGCATATTGCTGTCTGAAAAGCGCAACACTCTCCCAGGGACATGACGGAGGAGACGGTCTCGTAGGCCTGCTTTACAGACCTGTTGTGAAGATCGCAGCCGGATCATATGGGTGAGGTGCTTTCAAGTGATAAAAACACCCTACAAATGCTGGGTATCGTTATCTGCTGCCGGCCTGGTGGAACACGATCCGAGCTGAGATCTGGGCCCTGCGGGATTTAATGCACTTCAGGGCCTGTAAAACAGAGATGTTCCGCCTGGCCTAGGGCTGGAGTGGCGGCAATTCCTCAATATTGGCCTCCCCTTCTCGGCCTAGCTCCCTTCGATCATGGCTGACTTTTTCACCCACTCATTTGCTCTACAACGTTAGTCTACGGCTACCCACAATCAGAATCCCTTGGGACTTTTAATTGCGCACCTGATGCCATCCAATGTTTTAGCAATGTTTTAGTAATGTTTTGTGAATTCTTCAATTAATAATTGTATAGATTTTAAGAGGGCTCTTTTTGTAGCAGGAACTCCTCTGCATATCAGGCGACACCCCCCTAATGTAGCCAATCCTCCAAGAGCTTACAGAGCTCTTCTGACAAGGGGCTACTGTAAGCTCTCGGAGAATTGGCTACATTAGGGGTGTGTCGCCTAATATGCAAAAGAGTTCATGCTATTATGTTTAGGTTTTCCAGATCCTGCCTTGCTCCTAGCAGGGGGCCCCAGACTGCCAGTCGGAATCTTCTGGCACATACGCACCCTGATGACTTCACCTGGAAGTGATGTCATCACATTGCCAAGGTCGGGGGAGTGACGCTCTAGTTTTTGGGCTAAACTCTATGGGTTTCTTTTGCCCTTGAAATCATACAGTTTGCCCAAAAACTAGAGCGTCACACCCCGAAGTCAGCAACGCAATGATGTCACTTCCGGGTGACCTCATCGTGACCAGGACATCGCACAGCGACCTCCCTGTTTGGGTCACTTCCGGGTGACCTCATTGTGACCAGGACATCGCACAGCAACGTCCCTGTTCGGGGGTGGATTAGAGCCCTGAAGACTGGGAAGACCCCCTGGCCCGACCAGGGGTCTGGCTACCCTCACTATGTTTCAACCCACCCTGAGCCTGTTGTCTCCTGCCACAGGGGAGGATGGGTTAAAAAATTAAATAAATCAATAAACAACCTGTAAGGACTTGGACACCTCACCTGTTCCTCCTTGAAGACAATCTTGTTGAAGAAGAACTGGATGTATTCATTGGCATAATTGATGCACAGTTGCTCGAAACTGTTGAAGCCCAAATCCTGTTCGCAAAGCAGGAGGATGTTTTAGTTTTTAAGAAAGCTAGAGAAGATCCGTAACCAGCTTCCGTCTCATTTGAGAAGACTGCAGACCGGCTCTGGGTAAGAGTTCGGGATTTAAGCCCAAATTGAGGTTTGCGCCAGGCAGATAATCAAATTTTCTAACTTCGGGTGCCACACTAATGACACCGCACCCATTCCTACAGAAGCTCACGTTATCATCATCCAGCTAGACCTGGGGTCCCCACCATGGTGTTCGTGGGCACCCGCCGATGCCTTTTCCTGACACCCACCAAGTGTTTTCAGAAAGTGGGAGGAGCCAGCAGGGCTCCTGATTGGCTGTATGAAATAAAAGGCATCCTGTTAAACAGCACCTTCCCTGAATGTGAGACTGCTGGATTGCAACTGGTAACGAAGCTCAAGACAATGCACCTGGACTGAATCGAGACCTAGGTTTCCTGTCTATTGCCAATGCTGATTTCTCCACTGTAATGTATTCAATAGCTGCCATTGAATGCATGATCTATGTGAAACATCTAATTGACTTGCCATGTTGAGCTTCGTCCTGGGCTAGGATCCAAATCCATCCAATCGCATTGCTAGCCCAGGAAGCACCTAGCCAATCACCTTACAGCAAGCTCCCTGAGCAGGAACGTCTGTGATTGGTCCTTATATGAACAACCGTATTGGTTGGTATTTGTACAGTGGGTGTGGCTACGTTAGCTGGGAATGTTTAAAAGCAGGACAGCTGCAATGTAAAGGCTGTTCTGGCTATCCGATGTTGATCCATGTTGGAGTTGTGTTCGAGTTGAAGAATAAAGCTGTGTTCTTGCTGAATCACTCTCCAACTGTTTTGTTAAGCGAGCGACTTAACATCCACGCCTACTACCTCTCTGCATATCATGCCTAATTCAATCACGCCTGCTGTTATCATCTGCCTACTAATGTCGTTTGGCATCCGAAATCACTCCGCTCTCCACTCTGAGCCGGTTTGGTGTCGTGGTTAAGTGTGCGGACTCTAATCTGAGAGAACCGGGTTTGATTCCCCACTCCTCCACTTGAAGCTGCTGGATGACCTTGGGCAAGCCATAGTTCTGTCAGAGCTTTTCTCTCAAGAGCAGTTCTCAGACAGAGCTCTCTCAGCCCCACCTACCTCACAGGGCGTCTGTTGTGGGGAGGGGAAGGGAAAGGAATTTGTAAGCCACTCTGAGACTCTGAGTGAAGGGCAGGGTATAAATCCAGTCTCCGCCTCCTCCTCTATACAGGACAGAGGGACTCACATTCTGACTGTATCTGAAGAAGTGAGCAGTGACTCACTAAAGCTCATACACTACCACAAATTTCGTTAATCTCTCAGGTGCCACTGGACTCTTGCTTGTCGCAATTTTTGTTAGTCTTTAAGGTGCCGCTGGGCTCTTGCTCTTTTCTACAATCAGAGTTCTGCATAACCTAACTCCTTTCTATCGTATGGTTGATTCTGCCTCCTACCTCGAAGCCGTAGATGTCCAAGATGGCGATGGACAGGGCCTTCTGCTTGGGATAGATGCGCCGGTTAATCCTCTCCGTGATCCAGTTGAACAGCAGGGAGTAGAGAATCTTGGCGATGGCATCTCTGAGGGGGAAGAAGAGAAAGCGCGAGAGCCCATTAACGGAAGAACAACCAGCAGCACGATCCAGCAGTTGGCCTACCTGGTAGGGCGGTTGTGGTGCAGATAAAATGGAGGAGAATGATCTTGTGAGCCATTTTGGGTGTCCCATTGGGGGAGCAAACTAAGAAAGTAAGTAATATCTAAGTAAGTAAGTAAGCCGGAAGAAGAGGAAGAGGAGGAGGAGGAGATTGGATTTATACCCTGCCCTTTACTAACTGAAGGAGTCTCAGAGCGGCTTACAATCTCCTTCCCCTTCCCCTCCCCACAACAAACATCCTGTGAGGCAGGCGGGGCTGAGAGAGCTCTCTCGAGGACTGCCCTTGAGAGAACAGCTCTGAGAGAACTTGTGACTAAGCCAAGGTCATACCAGCAGCTGCATGTGGAGGAGTGGGGAATCAAACCCGATTCTCCCAGATTAGAGTCCGCGCTCCTAACCACTACATCAAACTGGTTATGTCCTAAGCTTTGATAAAGCAGTTGTGTCAGCTATGAGTGTAGGTTGCAGGCTATGGACTCTGGACCCTAAAAACACCTTCTGTTTACCTGGCATCCATGGCGCTGTCGACCGTGAGGGGGGTGAGGATCTTTTCCCTCAGGGTTTCCTGTCAGGGAAGAGCAGAAAGAATCACACTTGTCTCCCTTCCTCCACTGCACTAAGTTGCCAACTCCAGGTTGGGAAATACCTGGAGATTTTGGAGGGGTAGAAGAGCCTGAGGAGGGCGGGGTTTGGGGAGAGGAGGGACTTCCCATGGGCTATGATGTCATGGAATCTACTTCCCAAAGTGGCCATTTTCTCCAGGATGAACTGATCTCTGTCGCCTGGAGATCAGCTGTAATAGGGGGAGATTGCCAGTCACCACCTGGAGAGGTCTAGCTGCTCTCAGCCCCATATGTATTTATGAATAAAATACATAGCACAGAGTACACAAAAAGACACAAACCCACTATTTAGAGAAATAAATAAAATGGTCTTCAGCTGCCTCCTAAAGATCAAACATGAGGGGGGCCAGGCGCACCTCCCTGGGGCCGTTGTTCCAGAATCGCGGGGCCGCCACCGAAAAGGCCCCGTCTTGTGTTTCTGCCAAACCTGCTTCTTTGATTGGTGGGGACAGTCAGGGGGACCTCTCCCTGCCATCTTAATTCCCAGGCAGGAACATACTGCGGTAAATGGTGGTTTCTTCTCCTTTCCCTCTGGGATCGGGTTGCCAGCTCTGGGTTGGGAAATACCTGGAGATTTTGGGGGTGGAGCCTTGGGGAGGGACCTCAGCGGGCTATAATGCCACAGACCCTACTCTCCAAAGCAGCCATTTTCTCCAAGGGAACTTATCTTGGTCCTCTGGAGACCTCTGTAGTCTGGAGATGAGCTGTAATTCTGGGGGGGTCCCCAGGTCCCACCTGGAGATTGGCATCAATGCTTCCTCTGAGCGGTGAGCAAAAATTCTGCTTTGTGAGCTACTGGCATTAAAGCTGTGAGTGAGCAATTTGTTTATTGCGTACCTTAGTTTGCTCTGGAGCCACCCTTCCCAAGCTGAGACATAAATGTGTGAGCCAGAGGCTAAAGAACTGTGAGCTAGCTCACACTAACTCAGCTTAGAGGGAACACTGTTTATGAGCTACTGGCATTAAAGCTGTGAGCGAGCAATTTGGCTGCTGCACAGATAGGCTTTCTCTGGAGCCTTCCTTCCTGAGCGAAGACAAAAATGTGGGAGCCGGAGGCTAAAAAACTGTGAGCTAGCTCACACTAACTCAGCTTAGAGGGAACACTGTTTACAACCAATGCTCCCTCTAAGCTGTGGAGTCCTGTGAGCAAAAATTCTACTTGGTGAGCTGCTGGCATTAAAGTTGTGAGCGAGCAATTTGGCTACTGCGTACATTATTTTGCTCTGGAGCCCTCCTTCCTGAGCTAAGACAAAAATGTGTGAGCCAGAGGCTAAAAAACTGTGACCTGGCTCACACTAACTCAGCTTAGAGGGAACACTGCGTGGCATCCCTAATTAGCAGGAGATCTCCAGGTGTCACCTGGAGGATGGCAACTCCCCTCTGGGATCCAAATGGGAGCGTTCAAAACTGTCTGCATCCTGAGTTGCATGGCCAGGACAACGGGTCAGAGGAGGGAACTTCTGCCAGAGGTCTCGGCCACGATACAGGCGTGAAGTCCCGGATACCCTCCCCTCCCTTGGTCCCGGGCATAATTCATGGGTCTCGGCCAATGCTCCCTCTAAGCCAGCGGTTCTCAACCTGTGGGTCGCGACCCCTTAGGGCAGTGATGGCAAACTTTTTAGAGACCAAGTGCCTAAACTGCGACCCAAAACCCACTTATTTATCGCAAAGTGCCAACACAGCAATTTAACCTGAATACGGAGGTTTTACTTTAGAAAAAACAACTCATACATTAACTTTAGATGATCCAAACAAAGTAAGGAAAGCAATCCCAAATGCTTTCATTTACTTAAAATTATTTGGCAGAGAATTCGACACTTTAATGACGGTCTGGGCCTGGCTGGGGCGAAGGCACACGTGCCAACACCTGTGCCATAGGTTCGCCACCACTGCCTTAGGGGGTCGAACGACCCTTTCACAGGGGTCGCCTAAGACCATCGGAAAACACAAATTTTCAATGGTCTTATGATAGCAACGAAAATAATTTTACGGTTGGGGGTCACCACAACATGAGGAACTGTATTAAAGGGTCGCGGCATTAGGAAGGTTGAGAACCACTGCTCTAAGCTATGGAGTCTTGTGAGCAGAAATTCTACTTGGTGAACTACTGGCATTAAAGTTGTGAGTGAGCAATTTGGCTGCTGGATAAATTAGTTTGCTCTGGAGTCATCCTTCCTGAGCGAAGACAAGAAATGTGTGAGCCGGAGGCTAAAAAACTGTGAGCTGGCTCACACCAACTCAGCTTAGAGGGAACACTGGCCTTGGCCTCCTCACCGTCACTTTGAAGGTAACCGCCTTCTGCAGACATTCTGGGGAGATCTGCAAGAGCTCGGCCACGACCCGGATCTCCCTGGCGCTCACGACGGAAGCCACCTCCTGGTAATCGATCTGCAAAGCCCCACGTTCAGATCAGGCCAAGGATCGAGCGATCTCGTGAACTGATTCTCCGCACTCGGATTGGCCCTCCCTTTCCCCCCGCCTGGCCACCAGTTACCTCGTATTTTTCAAAATAGACGTTCCCCAGGTGGAGGATGGAAGAGAGAATCCGGAAGATACTGTTCTGGTCGTCGAGGGTGAAGTGCAGGGCCTCCATGGACGTCAGCATCCTGTGGAAATCCTCCGCGTCCGCCTTGCCGGGAATCTCACAGTTCCCTCCCTGTGGAAACCAGAAAGGAGGAAAGGGTCCCTCCGGGTATATCCCCGTGACAAGGGTCTCCCCATTCTGAAGTCAACTTTGGGGGTTTTATGCGCCACAAACGACAACCCTTACCCAGTGGTGTTTGTTTCATAGATGCTTCAGGGGCAAGGGACATACCTGGTTCAGGTAAAAATACGTCTCGGCCTCTTGGAGGAAGAATTTGCGCTTCTGATGACCAGGAAGGCCGGCCAGCATCTCATAAAAGATATGGTAATTCCGTTCGTTATTGGCCTTCGTAAGGAGACGGCACAGAGAGAAGGAAAGTTAACACCGGGAAGAAGAGAACTCAGATAAATTTCAAGATTTTTTTTGGGGGGGGGGGACTCCTCCCCTCCAGATCTGAATGGCACACCTCCCCGTGGTACAAATATAACAAACTACATCATTGTAGATTTGTTGATCTTTATTGATAGCCAAATCCAGGGGTAACCCAACCTTTCTGAGAGCCAGTTTGGTGTAGTGGTGTTCCCTCTAAGCTTAGTGTGAGCTAGCTCACAGTTTTTTAGCCTCCGGCTCACAGATTTTTGTCTGAGCTCAGGAAGGAGGGCTCCAGAGCAGACTAATTTATGCAGCAGCCAAATCGCTGGCTCACAACTTTAATGCCAGTAGGTCACAAAGTAGAATTTTTGCTCACAGGACTCCACAGCTTAGAGGGAGCATTAAGAGTGAGGACTCTAATCTGGGAGAACCGGGTTTGATTCCCCACTCCTCCACACGCAGCCGGCTGGGTGACCTTGGGTCAGTCAGAAGTTCTTTCAGAGCTGTCCTCTCAAGAGCGGTCCTCTCAGAGCTCTCTCAGCCCCACATGCCTCCCAGGGTGTCTGTTGTGGGGAGAGGACGGGAAAGAAGATTGTAAGCCGCTCTGAGACTCCTTCAGGTAGTGAAAGGCGTGGTATAAATCCAATCTCTTCTTCTCCTTCTTTCTGAGCCTGTGGGCACCTTTGGAACTCTCACACAGCATGGCAGCCGCAGCCACAAAATGGCTGCCACAGGAGGTGGAGCCAGCCACAAAATGGCTACCACCCCTTACCTACAGCCACACTGTGAAGATCCTTGTGCTGTGGTGGCAGTGGTTCGCCAAAGCAATATTCTTACAAAATCTGCACAGCCAATCAAATCTCCAATGGCCAATCAGCTCCACCTAGCCCCGCCCACTTCCTGTAAACACTTGGTTGGCGCCAGGAAAGGCTTTCGCGGGCACCATTGTGCCCATTGGCCTCACGTAGGGAACTCCTGGCCAAATCTATTGCAAAGGGCAGACTTCTGCATCCAGGCAAGTCCAGCCCTGTCTAAAGGTGCACCGACTTTTTTTTTTTTTTTTTTAAATTGACATGCGCAAGGTGTGCGCATTTAGCGCACCAAAAAAACAGCCCACGGTTTGTTTTATTCCAGCCGACCTCTCTGGGATTTGTGTGTCGCTAAGCCCCCCGGGCTTCTACGGAAAGGATTCAGAAGGGGGGAAAGAGCAGGAGGATAGCCCCTCACCTGAAAGACCACCCTGGACTTCTCCAGAAGGTACTGCGAGGTTATGGCACCACAGATGAGCTTGCTGCAGAGAGAAAGCTTAGAATTTGTGTCCGGTCGCCCAGCGTCTTGCAGCTCTAGGATCTGGGCCCGGGGAGAACCCTCGGCCTCGTTTCGACTGATGTTTCCCGCTCTGGGTTCTGGGGGAAGGTGGAAACCTTGTGGAATCCCACCTTGTTTACCCAACGCAAGGCTTTTCCAGACAGTCTTTAAACTTGGGATGAGGTGAGGTGGATGAGGTACACTGTGTCTGCTTGGAACTCTGTACACACCAGGAGGTTCAGCTCACAACCAGGAACCCAGGAAAAAATGGGCTCCCAAAGGCAGAGAGATCCCTGTGGGCATACAGCTGGGCACACATGGAATCTATTGGCACCTTCAAATCACCTAGAGGTCAAGAGAAGGGTCAGCAATGCACAATCCCACTTCTCCAGTCTCCAGATGCTGGATGAGCATGTGAAGAAGACCTCCACCCTCACTGGAAGGGCCACAACGAGGGAACTCCATGAGGGTGAGAGCCAAAGAGGTTTGGAATAGCCAGAAACCCATGCATAATTGACTTGTGGAACTCCCTGCCACAAGATTACTCACATAGGTGGTTTTCAGTGGGTATAAGGAGCCTGGGGAAGGAAGAATTTGGTGTCCTGGCCCCACTGATGGACCTCCTGATGGCACCTGGTATTTTTGGCCACTGTGTGACAGGGAGTGTTGGACGAGATGGGCCATTGGCCTGATCCAACATTGGCTTCTCTTATGTTCTCTTATGTTCTTATGTTCTCAGCAGGGATAGGGGGTCTAGAGTTGAAGCTGCCATTTTCTCTAAGGGCAACTGATTTTTGTGGTGTGGAGATCGGTCGTAATTCTGGGAGAACTCTAGGCCCCACCTGGAGGTTGGCAACCCTATACACAGTGCCCCCCCCCCCAAAAAAAGCTGCCATTTCCTCCAGGGGAACATTTCTGTGCAGTCTGGCCATCATACACAAATCTGACATCGGGAATCACAAGATTGGGAAACCTGTAGGAGAACCCTTCAGCCTTCCAGGACATTCAATGGGTGATCTCAAAGTAGCTGTTTCATTACAAAGGAACCTCAGGAACAGAACGGAAAGGGAAACTGCTGAATTACGAGTTATTACAACACTTGGAACAACCCTCCCCCAGGACTCAACAGGGATATTGGTTTCTTATCTCATGACATATGCTAACTCATTCAGTCCTCACATATATATTCTGAACAAGAAGGAGTATAAATCCTCTGTATTTTATTTTAGTGTATTTCTTTTTCAGAATAGTATATTAGAATACTGAATGTAATGCAAGGAATATTGGGATGTTTTGCTGACATGACCCTGCATCCACCTCAAAAAAGTGCTGTTAAGTGACCTCCACGCCTGGGAGAAGGCAGATTCTTCATTTGCTTCCCACAATTAGAAAAGACACCTTTAGACATTTATCTGCTATTTTGACATGTTTATTGCATTACAACTGTTGACTTTATAAACGTAGCTTGTTATTTAGTTCTGACTCTGTATATCTTAAACATCATCATGTTACATGTTCATTTGCTGTTCAGTCCCTGTCTATAAGTTTGAACCTTATCTACCATTCCAATGTATTTGAAAAAAGTGTGCATGCACACGGAAGCTCAAGCCTTGAATAAATCTTGGGGGTCTTAAAGGTGCCTCCACTGGACTCTAAATTTGGCCATCAGCTGTAATTGCAACTCAAAGGGTGACCCAGGTTCAGATCTCTCTGCGGGTAGCTTTAAACCAGAAATTCTCAGCGTAGCCTACCCCACAGGGTTGTGATGTAGGCCAAATGGGGGAACCCACTTGGCTCACCCAAAGTTCTCCCAAAATGTGATTGTGAAATATATTATGAAAACCGTAATAAAACAACATTAAAGTGCGCAAGACTGATGGAGGAGAAAACGATAGAAAGGAACAGGGATTCCTTACCCCTCCAGAAAGATCTCCACAAATTTCCCAAACCTGCTGGAATTGTCGTTCCGCACGGTCTTGGCATTCCCGAAGGATTCCAGCAGAGGAGTCGCTTCCAGGATCTGACCCGCCCAGACACACACACACGGGAAAACAAAAGAAAATAAAATCAGGCACTTGCAAGAGGATAAAACTTGTTTTTGGGGAAAAAACCTGGAATTGCCCAACCCGTGGGTACCCACGTTGTCCAACCCATGGGTACCTGCGTCTGTTCTGGTTGGGGGACCAGATGACAGATGGGTGAAACAAGAACTTTGAACTTGTGTTGGATAGCACCAGAAGACGCCTGTGCACAAATTCACTTCTATATCGGCATAACAGATGTTGATCAATTGTATTTGCAAATTGGGTAGTAGAGCCTCTGCTTGGCATGCAGGAGGTAACAGATTCAGACCCCTGCATCTCCAGTTAAAAGGACCAGGCAGTAGATGATGTGAAAGACCTCCACCTGAGACCCTGGAGAGCTGTAAAGAGGGGCTGTGGCTCAGTGGTAGAGCATCTGCTTGGCCTGCAGAAGGTCCCAGGTTCAGTCCCCGGCATCTCCAGTTAAAAAGGACCAGGTAAGAGGTGATAGGAAAGATCTCCACCTGAGACCCTGGAGAGCTGTAAAGAGGGTCTGTGGCTCAGAAAAAGAGCCTCTGCTTGGCATGCAGAAGGTCCCACGTTCAGTCCCCGGCATCTCCAGTTAAAAAGGACCAGGCAGTAGGTGATGGGAAAGACCTCCACCTGAGACCCTGGAGAGCTGTAAAGAGGGTCTGTGGCTCAGAGGAAGAGCCTCTGCTTGGCATGCAGAAGGTCCCACGTTCAGTCCCCGGCATCTCCAATTAAAGGGACCAGGCAGGAGGTGATGGGAAAGACCTCCGCCTGAGACCCTGGAGAGCTGTCAAGAGGGGCTGTGGCTCAGTGGCAGAGCCTCTGCTTGGCATGCAGAAGGTCCCAGGTTCAGTCCCCGGCATCTCCAGTTAACAAGGACCAGGCAGTAGGTGATGGGAAAGACCTCCACCTGAGACCCCGGAGAGCTGTAAAGAGGGGCCGTGGCTCAGTGGAAGAGCCTCTGCTTGGCATGCAGAAGGTCCCAGGTTCAGTCCCCGGCATCTCCAGGTGAAAAGACTGGGCAGGAGGTGATGGGAAAGACCTCCGCCTGAGATCCTGGAGAGCTGTCAAGAGGGGCTGTGGCTCAGTGGCAGAGCCTCTGCTTGGCATGCAGAAGGTCCCAGGTTCAGTCCCCGGCATCTCCAGGTGAAAAGACCGGGCAGTAGGTGATGGGAAAGACCTCCTCCTGAGACCCTGGAGAGCTGTAAAGAGGGGCCGTGGCTCAGTGGCAGAGCCTCTGCTCGGCATGCAGGATGTCCCAGGTTCAGTCCCCGGCATCTCCAGTTAAAGAGGACCAGGCAGGAGGTGATGGGAAAGACCTCCTCCCGAGACCCTGGAGAGCTTTAAAGAGGGGCTGTGGCTCAGTGGAAGAGCCTCTGCTTGGCATGCAGGGGGTCCCAGGTTCAGTCCCCGGCATCTCCAGGTGAAAAGGACCAAGCAGGAGGTGATGGGAAAGACCTCCTCCCGAGACCCTGGAGAGCCGCTGCCAGTCTGAGTAGACAAGACTGACCTTGATGGACCCAGGGTCTGATTCAGTGTAAGGCAGACTCATGTGTGTTCAAGTTTAGGTCTCGTGGGCTGTGATGGTGCGTCAGGGTTGCCAGTTTTCAGGTGGTAGCTGGAGATCTTCCAGAATAACAGCTGGTCTCTAGGTTACAGGTTACAGAGATCACTTCCCCCACAGAAAATGGCTGCATTGGAAGGTGCACTCCATAGCATTATAACCACCTGAGGTTATGATCCCCTCCCCCCTCCCGTGGCTCCACCCTAAAATCTCCAGGAATTTCCCAAGCCAGAGCTGGCAACCAACGGTGCCGTCAAGTTACAGCCAACTTATGGCCTCCGTGCAGGAACCCGGGACTTCCTCGGTGGTCATCCAGTGTTCTCTCTAAGCTGAGTCAGTGTGAGCCAGCTCACAGTTTTTTAGCCTCCGGCGCACACATTTTCGTCTTGGCTCAGGAAGGAGGGCTCCAGAACAGACTAATGTATGCAGTCGCCAAATCGCTCGCTCACAACTTTAAAGCCAGTAGCTCACAGAGTAGAATTTTTGCTCACAAGACTCCACAGCTTAGAGGGAACATTGATGTCCAGACCCAACCATGCCCCTCTGCTCTCTGTAGATGAACTCATCCCAGGGGTAGCCAACCCAAGCATAATGGGTGTGGAAAGGGGTTAACCACTCAGGGGTAAGCCCAACACGAACATGCCTTCCCCCCTTTCTGGTCTCCAGGGGTCATTTCCTGCAGGAGTGCACAGGAGCGGAGTTCCGGCAGTAAAGAGCCCAGGGGGCGGGCACATTCAAGAAGCCCCGCCCTCTGCTCCCAGCAGCCCCGGGCCACGAGGAGCAAGAAGCAGCCAGCTAAGTTGCAGTGGGTGTTGCCTTCTGACACACTTCCGGTGATGTCAGGGGGTGTGGCATATGCAAATAAGTTATGCTAATAGGTTATGCTAATGAGCTCCTGCACCTCTTTGCTACGAAATGACCCCTGCTGGTCTCACGGCATTTCAAACCAAGCCAAACGGCCAACACTGCACACGCAACTTTGCCATACCTCTATCTACGGGCACATGGGACAGAAGCGGAGGGACAAATTGGTGTAAGAAGGGGCACGTAGATCAGCATCGGCGTGAGGAAGGAAGAAACAGGATGCGAAAGAACAACATGTTCACATAAGGGGTAGAATGTTTTATCCTATCAGCCCCCCAAAAGACTCGTATCGTCCCACTCAGTGTACCAGACTATGCCTGTAGCACGGGTCACCAGTGTGGTGCCCACGGGCGACATGTTGCCCACCAACACCTTTCCTGGGGCCCACCAAGTGTTCTTAGAAAGTGGGTTGGGCCTGGTGGAGGTTTTCGCCCAGCAAGACTTCTCATTGGCCATTGGCGTTTTGATTGGCGGTGTCAAGTCAAGTCTATTGTACATGGCCATTGGCCGTGGCAAGTTAAAACGTACTAAGGTTTTGAAATACGACGCCTGCCTTTAGAGATTCACGTTCACACTCAAAAATACTCAGTACCTTGAATTTTTAAAAAGCTAACATCCATCTCCAAGGATTCACGGGGATGTTGTGGCCCAGGGCCGTAATTAAATGTAAAAGAACAGTACATCAGAGCATTTGGCTTTACACCTCCTTTGCACTTCAGAGATAATGCGAAGGACTCTGCCTTATCTAATGCGCAAAGGAGATTGTGAGAAGATCCTGACAAGGTCCGCTATAGTGTTGTAAATCTGAATGCAGATTGTTATTTTAACATGTTCTGTAAACATAGTGCTGTCTTGCTGGCTTATATGAAAAGAAACATCATTTATTACTGAAGTACATCAAACAATTGCTTGATGTAAGAGTTGATGTCATGGACAGAAAGTGTGAATTCCTGGGTAACCTTTTGATCGAAGGGTATAAATAAGTCAGAAGAAGAGATTGGATTTATACCCCGCCCTTCACTACCCAAAGGTGTCCCAGAGAGGCTTACAAACTCCTTTCCCTCCCCCTCCCCACGACAGACACCCTGTGAGGTAGGTGGGGCTGAGAGAGCTCTGACAGAAACTACTCTTTTTCAAGGACAGCTCTTATCAGAACTACGGCTTGCCCAAGGTCATCCAGCAGGTGCAAGTGGAGGAGTGGGGAATCAAACCCAGTTCTCCCAGGTTAGAGTCCTCGCACTTAACCACGACACCAAACTGGTGGGGAATTAACCCTTGTCTCTCTCTCTCTGTTTCTGGGTGAGCCCAAAGGCCTCTGATTGTGTTTGTGTCTTTGTCTGTTTGAATGTCTTATATTGTTATTATTTTATCTTAGTATTTGATTGCATATTTTAGGGAAGGAGAATTAGAGTATTGTGGGCTGTGGGGAGAGCACTAAATTGCTCCAGCCCTTCCTGTGTAACCTTGATACTAACCCTCAAATAAAAGAACGGTTTGTGTTTAAGGAACTAGTGTGAGTGTGTTAAGGCATTGCAGGCCGCTGCCCTGGCGGGCTTGCCCTTATTTTCTTTATTTTCTTGGTGCGGGGCCACACCAAGGCTCCGAGGTAGCAAGGTTGACAAGTAAATTACCCCTGTCAGTGCGTTCTTAGAACAACGGGCAGATTCGAGAAATACGAATGACACACCAGGATATTACATTCCATTTAGCGATCAGCTGTGCAATTATTTTTTTTAAATGTCCCTTCGGCAGTAGCCGCCACCACAGCACAAAGCATCTTCGTTGAGTGACTGAAGGGAAGCCTTGGCAGCCATTTTGTGGCTGGCTCCGCCCCCTGCAGCGGCCATTTTGTGGCTGTGTCAAAATTCCAAAGATGCCCACTGGCACAGAAACAACGAGGGACCCTTGCTTAGAGATCAGGATTCAGCATTCACACTAACCCCAAGATCTGTTTTCTAAGCCCTGGATCTTGTACCTGCTGGGTCGCAGTATACTTCCGGTTTATCGCAGCCAGGTAACGGAGGATCAGTTTGGTGGCTTCGGTCTTCCCTGATCCGCTCTCGCCACTGTAAAAGCAAGTAACCGAACGAGCATATTAGAAGCCAGAAAGAAAAATCCTTCTTTCAGTGATTAAGGTTAGCGTCGTTTAGAAAAAGAAGAGATTGGATTTATACCCTGCCCTTCACTCAGAGTCTCAGAGTGGCTTACAAACTCCTTTCCCTTCCCCTCCCCGCAACAGACACCCTGTGAGCCAGGGGGGCTGAGAGAGCTCTGACATAAACTGCTTTTTTTCAAGAACAGCTCTGATAGAACTGTGGCTTGCCCAAGGTCATCCAGTAGCTGTTAGTGGAGGAGCGGAGAATCAAACCCGGTTCTCCCAGATTAGAGTCCGTGCACTTAACCACTACACCAAACTGGCTCCCAGTGGAAACACAACTTTCTCCCGAGAGTCGGCAGCCATTCAGAAGAGAGATCGGTGTTCATGATGCACACAGAGAGATGTGAAGGCATGGGGGGGAGTGGTCAGCCTCAGGAAGACAACAAAAGGCCAGTAGTCGTTGGCCATTTAGATTTTTGCAAGTCCGGGATCAGATGCACACTATTGTTTTCAAAAGACATTTACTACCTCCAGGTAACAGTAGGGTATTCTTTCACCAAGCTAACACCCAGAATTATTTGGTGGGAAGATGTAGAGAACAGGTCTGTAACATCAGTTCAGGCTTGGAGACTAGCTGTACCCAGGGGTCATTTCCTGCAGGAGCGCACAGGAGCGGAGCTCCGACAGTAAAGAGCCCAGGGGGCGGGCACACGCAACAAAAAACGGGTTTTTTTCCCGAGCTTCAAAATTTCCGGAAATTTTACATCTCTA